CCTAAACGCTGTTACGTACTTTCGGATCTATCTGTCACTGTCGCTCATGCTGACATCTCGTTTTGTGTGAGAGGGATGGCAACATTCAAAACTTCGGATAACGTTTTTCGGAGCAACCCTGGTCACAATGGGTGCGTTTGACGGAAGAAAGCTAGCGCTGAGAAACAAACTATACAGAGTTGTCGGCGAGGACACGTTCGCTAACTTCAGTAGTGACGTGTTTCAATTATTTTTTCGCAGTGACAACGCCTACCGCTTTTCTCCGCAACCCATTGTATCCAGCAGGGTTATTCCGAAAAACATCCGAAGTTTTGAATGTCGCCATCACTCTCACGCAAAGCGAGATGTACCAGGAGCGACGGTGACAGATAAACCTGAAACTACGTACTACCCGTTCGCGCTAAGTTTGGCGGTCCTTGGAAAGCGCGTCCCCTCCTCCAACCGCGATTAAACGCAATTAGTTAGTAATTAAACGCAATTAGTGTGTCTTATTTTACGCAAATACACAATGTTTATCAATAATAATAAATAAAAAATATTTTAAATATAGTTTGTTAAAGTTATAGACGCTTCTCTTCGAGTGAAGTCATATCGCCAGCGGCAAACTTATCGCGAACGGATAGTAGTGACGTGTTTCATTATTCGCAGTGACAGCGCCTACCGTTTAGTGACCGCCATTTTGCTTACAAGGGCTTCCAAGCGATTTTCTCCGCCAAACGCACCCATTGTAACCAGGGTTACTCCGAAAAACAACCGAAGTTTCGAATGTTGCCATCACTCTCACGCAAAGCGAGATGTACCATGAGCGACGGTGACAGATAGGTTTCAAGTGATAACCACGGTTACTTGTACTGCAACCGGAGCGCGGAGTAGTATTGCTGCGTCATAGCAGTACCTCTTGCCCTTCGTGTATCCACGGAAGACAAGAGTCGTGGTATTCTTTACGACACCTCGACATGATGCTGAGAGGATACCGTTTCGGTGACACGCACATTACCTTTTATTATAGTTACCATTAGTTTTAGTTTTATTATAATTTCTATGCCAAAATCAAGTGGCAGTGGGCGGGGCACTCAGATCATAGAAAGAGAATAGATATGAAGTCGCGCGTAACTACAACGAGAACCAGTGTCCCCATATTTCCCCCACCACAGCTCCCACACACACATTCAACTGTGTAAAAACAAAGCGACTGAGAGTCTACGACAACATGTGCAACCGGCTTAAAAGTGCTGTGATTGGCCAGAAGGCGTGCCTTATGGCCAATCAATGGCCGCGTGACGTTACGCACACTTTGAAAAAAGCAATTAGAGAGAAGAAAGATAAAATGGAGTCGATAAGATATCGATACTTTAAATCCTGGGGGCAAGGCTCGAAATTGGTTTAAAAAATGCTTGTATGAAAACCTTTTTATTATTATACGTTATTATTATGTTCTTTAACGATTTTTGCATAAAGGAGTCAGTTCCATTTTGTATGGACGAAAAACTCAGAATCAATTATTGGGACTAAATGAAGTTACCTTATATTAATTTACCCCAACCAAAGCTCAATGTCGTTATCGATGGAGTATAGAAGTTATAGACTGACAAAGTTTGTATGAAAAGTCATGGGTTAAGTAGGTACTTGCGATTTTTACCAGTATTTACAATATTGGTAATATATTATTATTTACTTTAATAATAATAACAGGATCACTGTAATTATTATTAACTACTATCGCGCATTAACTTTTTAATTATGGCGAAATTCGTACCGCCTATGTTTATCAAAAATAATGCCTATATTAGGCTTTCAACTAGCTCTTATAGTAATTACATAGTTGACAGTTACTAATCCCTTCTACTATTGTTATTGTTTTTGTAAAAACTTAAAAATCGCAAGCAACTCATGATTTTTTCATTCAAAATTAGAAAATAGAAAATAATAATTTACTTCTATTTATCGATAATAGGAAACCGTATTAGAACACGAGCCCTGCACTATGTTACGACCGGCACATGCGGCCGTACTGTGTATTTTCACGCGTCAGTGGATATCGGAAGAAATAAAATACATTGCGCAGTAGTTACGCATGACATAAAGTGGTTGCTAACTAAATCGTCAATGTACAACGTGTTTGAATTTTTATCACCACTAATTTCGATATCGCAGTAAATGTCACGGCACTGAATTCGTTCGTAAAAATGTTTAGTTTTTTTTATTTATAAGCAAAATACCAATGGATTTGCAATACTTACATGTGGTAAATGACTTCATTGTTCCTGTAGTTCTTCGTTTCACTTATGTTATTGCACGTTACGACGCATTATCCAACAATATCGGAGAACATTTCCTCAGTACGACTGAATCGCGACTAACCTGGCGTCGCGGGCGATGTTCGTTTCTGGGCATATCGCGGAGACACGTGCCACGCCCCCGTTTCACATCTATTCCCTTCTATGATCTGAGGCGGGGCACATAGCTCGTAGAGACGATGGCCGTTGGGGCAGGAAGTTCTCGAGTGGCGACCACGGGCTGGAAGATGTAGCGTGGGCAGGCTTCCGACACCGGTTCCGGACGATCTGGTAAAGGTTGCGGGAAGAGCCTGGATACGAGCAGCGCAGGACCGTTCATTATGGAAAACCTTGGGGGAGGCCTTTGTCCAGCAGTGAACGTCATTTGGCTGAAATGATGATGATGATAATTTTCTTGATGATGTTTTGTGTCGCTGAATAAAACATTTCATTTTCATGCCAGGAGCGCGCCGAAGAACTGTCATCGCTAGACAGCTGCGAGTACATTTGGGCGGGCGGCGTGGGCTTCGCGCGCTCGCCGCCGCGCGTGCCCGCGCACGAAGCCGCTCGCACTGAACTGCTGCGGCTGCTACTTACCTGCTGCAGCGAGACCGTCTACCAGCCCGCCAGCAGGGCCGCCACGCACCATAACAAGTGGATCGCGTGAGTACACACGAGCTGCTGCAGCCAGACCGTCTACCAGCCCGCCAGCAGGGCCGCCACGCACCATAACAAGTGGATCGCGTGAGTACACACGTCTATAATAATATATACATATACATATACTCCCAAGCCGCTTTCGGCTACGGTAACTGCGACAAAATTCCATTAGTCCGCAATAAGAGGGCTACCACGCTGGGCTGCCCTATCATGTGCCCTCACATGGCTACAGTAGCCAATCTTGTTGGTAAACGTGCGCGAACAATGCCGACACGTTAGGACACCGCTGATGTAGTTGTAGGTGATAGCCGCTGCTGGTCTGGCTTTAAGAGCATCGCGCTTTGAGTCAAGATCAGATTTCCGCTGCTCTTCGAAGTCGTTAACTTTTTTCCGCACCAGGCGCCTCCACTCCAGGCGGTGGCTAGCAGTTTTTTCCCACTTTAGGGGCAAATGTCTGCGGCATTGAGGCGTACCTGATGCGTCGGCAGCTTCGTTGGTGCGGTCACGTCTGGCGTATGGCTGACGAGAGGGTCGCGAAACGAATTTTCTTTTCTCCAGGTCCTTCGACGGGCAGACCGTCTACCAGGCCGCCAGCAGGGCCACCACGCACCATAACAAGTGGACCGCGTGAGTACACACGAGCTGCTGCAGCCAGACCGTCTACCGGCCGCCAGCAGGGCCGCCACGCACCATAACAAGTGGACCGCGTGAGTACACACGAGCTGCTGCAGCCAGACCGTCTACCGGCCGCCAGCAGGGCCGCCACGCACCATAACAAGTGGACCGCGTGAGTACACACGAGCTGCTGCAGCCAGACCGTCTACCGGCCGCCAGCAGGGCCGCCACGCACCATAACAAGTGGACCGCGTGAGTACACACGAGCTGCTGCAGCCAGACCGTCTACCGGCCGCCAGCAGGGCCGCCACGCACCATAACAAGTGGACCGCGTGAGTACACACGAGCTGCTGCAGCCAGACCGTCTACCGGCCGCCAGCAGGGCCGCCACGCACCATAACAAGTGGACCGCGTGAGTACACACGAGCTGCTGCAGCCAGACCGTCTACCGGCCGCCAGCAGGGCCGCCACGCACCATAACAAGTGGACCGCGTGAGTACACACGAGCTGCTGCAGCCAGACCGTCTACCGGCCGCCAGCAGGGCCGCCACGCACCATAACAAGTGGACCGCGTGAGTACACACGAGCTGCTGCAGCCAGACCGTCTACCGGCCGCCAGCAGGGCCGCCACGCACCATAACAAGTGGACCGCGTGAGTACACACGAGCTGTTGCAGCCAGACCGTCTACCGGCCGGCAGCAGGGCCGCCACGCACCATAACAAGTGGATCGCGTGAGTCGTGTTCCTTAGCCAGGTCCACACTTGTGGATCCACAGCTCTTTGGATCGAGATTCGTGTGCCTAAAGCTGCGTTTCCAACAGAGATGCGAGGATGCGGAGCGAGGGATGTGTTTGTAAAGAACCAATAGAATCGCTTCATTTACCGAGGAGGTATTGAAGAGAATAGAAGATTTGCGGCGAAGTACATTTCTACCAAAGCGACGAAAGAGAGAAGATGAGACGAGAGATCTTTTCTCTTCTCTGTTTGATCCATTTTCACCAAAAAAGCGGAAAATCTATTTGCTTCCAAGATACACTCTTACTCCTTGCCTTTACATGTCATTTTAAGCTAATGTATCCACCATCTTCTAATAAAAAAGCCACGATAGCCGAACGGTGAAGGGGTCGGAGTGGCCGACTCCAGATCCGAGGAACGCGGGTTCGAATCCCACCGCCGCTCGACTATTGTGGTGAGCCCACTTACGAGTGTGGAGTGTTACGACACAAGCTCATTTAGCTTAACACGAGGGGCTAACGGGACTATTAGTAATTTGGGCAATACAAATTGCTAATAATCTTTTAAAAAAAAGTTGTGCTTTTCTTAAGGCTATGTAACTTGGCATATAAATTGCAACAATTTCTTGTAGATACCTCACGAGTCCCGAGAATCGTCACGCGCTGCCGCTGTTCACATCGCTTCTGAACACAGTGTGTGCCTACGACCCGGTGGGGCTCGGCCTGCCCTACAACCACCTTCTGTTCAACGACACCCTGGAGCCGCTGGTGGAGGTAGGTCTTACAGTGATGTCATCAGTATTATGAACACGGTGCAGGGTTGCATGATTTAAATCAAGTTGATTTAAATCATGATTTAAATCACGATTTTTATTGCATGATTTTTTAAATAAAAATCACTGATTTAAATCAATATACTAAAATGGAATTAATGCAACGCTGGGAGTGCACATTAATCAATTGTAATGTTCAAAACAATGTTAATATTAGGTGTTCAAGTATGAAATAGACGTTCTGTATGGAAAATTAGAAAAAAATAAAATTGATACTTGTAAAAAGATATTCGTGTTTTTGTAATGAAAACAGACACCACTTAGGACGAGCTGTTTTTGACGAGTTTTTTCTTGTTTCAGTAAAAATATGACATACCATCTTACATAATTTAACTTTTTTGGCTTGCTCCCAGTACTATACCTCAATTGTACCTAAATAAACATGTTTTCCGCATGAAAAACTAAGGCAATGATTGCAAAATCGAATAAAAATCAATATAAATCAAATAAATCACGATTTATTCAAAAAAATCTGATTTTTTTGATTAAAATAAAAAAATCATGATTTTTTTCCACCTTGACACGGTGTAGTGTAAAGCTTCGGCCAAACCAACGCGTGCAGCTCGCCTCGGCGATGGCGATCACTGCGCGTGCATAGCTCGCCGCAACCAATGACAGGACGCGTTGATGTGAACTCATCGCTACATAATTCATACACAAAATCTGATCGCCATCGCGTAAGCAAGCTGCACGCATTGGTTTGGCCGAACCTTAAGAAAGCAAATAACAAGCCCCCTTACTATTAAAACTTACACGCTCGTTGAACAGTTTTTTAAAGTGACGTTTAGTATGGAAATGTCATTTTAAAACAGTGTCTAACAACTGTGTAACTTTTTATTAGTAAGGGGGAAGGTATTTAAAAGCCTATTGGTAATATTAAAATTATGAAAATCACACTCATGTTTGAATGTGTAAAAGTGCTTCTTTTAAGCCTATTTACAGAAATAAATGAGTATTATGAGTTTTTTATGAATTTATTTACAGGTAGCACTACAAATCCTAATTGTGACTTTGGACCATGACACAAGCAACACTCTCAATGAAGAAACTGATGAAGTAAGTTATTATGTAGAACATTAAAATTTGACACACTGACTTTTTATACCAATTTTCTTAAATAAGTAACTCCTCTTTCCCACTGTTTGAAAAATTACCAGTTTTTATTGGCACAGACTGACTATAGATAGTAATAAGAGTAGAAAATAAACCACATTATTGACAACATTTACTCCAGTACGTAAAAATAATGGGCACATTATTACCCATACTGTGCCAACAGCCCCAGGCTCAGCATTTATCATCCTTGTTGTTGGCATTGCGCATCCTTTTGAGGAGATCCCTTTTGATTAAATATGAAGAAGACATCAAAAATCCACTTCGCCTACGCACGTGAACAAAGTAGAATAATCCTGATAGGATGAAAATATTTTTAAAAACCTACCCTACCTACTTGCATACATAAAAAATGACTTTTTTAAGGCCTATTCAAACCTGAGCGATATTCGCTGCCGCTGTGGGTAGAGGTACATACCGCGCGGGTTTCGTTCAGGTATTTAGTATCAAGTACCGCGGCTAGAGCGTTTTCTCTGCCGCAGACGGTAGCGAATACCGCTTAGGTCTGAACAGTATTATTACCGCATACCCACTGGGTTTTCTCTGCCGCAGACGGTAGCGAATACCGCTTAGATCTGAACAGTATTATTACCGCATACCCACTGGGTTTTCTCTGCCGCAGACGGTAGCGAATACCGCTTAGGTCTGAATAGGCCTTTATGAGTTTCCAATTACCCCCAGAGTCTACCAGACAACCTGTTCATCAACTACCTCTCACGCATCCACCGCGACGAAGACTTCCAGTTCCTTCTCCGCGGCGTGACGAGACTCCTCAACAACCCGCTGGCCCAGACCTACCTGCCCAACTCCGCCAAGAAGGTCAGCCTGCACCAGGAGCTACTGGTGCTGTTCTGGAAGATGTGCGACTATAACAAGGTGCGTGGACTACTGTAACAAGGGGCGTGGACTATAACAAGGTGCGTGGACTATAACAAGATGCGTGGACTACCATAACAAGGTGCGTGGACTACTGTAACAAGGTGCGTGGACTATTATAAACAAGGTGCGTGGACTATAACAAGGTGCGTGGACTACTATAACTCCCAGTTCCTTCTCCGCGGCGTGACGAGGCTCCTCAACAACCCGCTGGCCCAGACCTACCTGCCCAACTCCGCCAAGAAGGTCAGCCTGCACCAGGAGCTACTGGTGCTGTTCTGGAAGATGTGCGACTATAACAAGGTGCGTGGACTACTATAACAAGGGGCGTGGACTATAACAAGGTGCGTGGACTACTATAACTCCCAGTTCCTTCTCCGCGGCGTGACGAGGCTCCTCAACAACCCGCTGGCCCAGACCTACCTGCCCAACTCCGCCAAGAAAGTCAGCCTGCATCAGGAGCTACTGGTGCTGTTCTGGAAGATGTGCGACTATAACAAGGTGCGTGGACTACTATAACAAGGGGCGTGGACTATAACAAGGTGCGTGGACTACTATAACTCCCAGTTCCTTCTCCGCGGCGTGACGCGGCTCCTCAACAACCCGCTGGCCCAGACCTACCTGCCCAACTCCGCCAAGAAGGTCAGCCTGCACCAGGAGCTACTGGTGCTGTTCTGGAAGATGTGCGACTATAACAAGGTGCGTGGACGTCACGACATTTAGCGATAGCCGAACGGTGAAGACGTACCGGAAAACGCAGCGTGGGACGTCCACCCACAAGGTGGACCGATGCCCTGATAAAGGTAGCGGGAAGGCGCTGGATGCAGGCCGCTACCAACCGTGCGATGTGGAAGTCATTGGGGGAGGCCTATGTTCAGCAGTGGACGTCCTGTGGCTGAAATGATGATGATGATGATGATGAACGGTGAAGAAGTTGGACTGGCCAGGAACACGGGCTCGATCCCCGCCGCTCGACTATTGCAGCGAATCCACTCGTAACACCATATACATTATCACGAAGGGTTAACGAACAATTCGTAAATACATATTGCTAAAACAGAACTGCGGAGTTACTCCGAAAAACGTTGTCCAAAGTTTCAAAGTTGCCAGCCCTCTCACGCAAAGCGATGGCACGTGACAACAAATAGACCCACGTATAGATCGTTTCATCGAAGAAGACGCGCCCCACCAATTTTTGGTCGAAGAAAGCGCGGGGTGCGGGGAGTTTGATCTGAGCAATCCGAGCGTCATTATTGTAGTGTGCGTGTGCACTCATAGATAATTTAGCGTGTACCGATAACACTCATTAGCGGAAGAATGGTGGGGCGCGTCTTCGTGGATGGAACGATAATCCGTGTTACAGAGTAGCCCTGCTGTGACTGCTGTTATAGTCTGGCCTGTGAGTACGTAGAATTTTATCCAATGACCCCAAGCTACCCATCCTTATCGCTCGCGCGTAATTATGTTGCTATCGCGCTCACACACTCACTGCGGGTGCCAGTCGCACAGTCGCGACAGCAATTATAATTACGCGCGATCGATAAGGATGGGTAGCTTGGGGTCATTGGACAAAATTCTACGTGTTCACAGACCAGGCTCTAGATGCTAGCGATTAGTCATTGTTTCATATTCAATTTGTGTAATATAAATGTATGATGTATAAATTGTTTAGTATTTAACTTGTTGCTTCAGAAATTCATGTACTACGTGCTGAAGAGCAGCGATGTCCTCGAAGTACTGGTGCCGATCCTCTACCACCTCAACGATTCGCGCGCGGACCAATGTAAGTGCGAAATATGCATATAAAATACTTACAGACGATGATTATGAAGAATATAATGTGATGAGACTAAACTGATGCATTAGACTAATTTGTATGCCGACAAGGCTGATCACGGCTTGAACACATATTTTGTTTGTACATCATACTGCTTACCTGTGTTTCACAAATAAATTATTTGAATTTGAATTTGTACCTTTTTGCAAATACTAAATTGACAGTTAAAAGGGACGTCATTAGGGCACTCAGAAACCATTTATTTCTATAGTAACGTAGTCTAGTCTAATTTCACATTTTTGAAGTGCTTTATTCTGGCTTGTTATTGACGCAATGTTGCTTCTTTGTGTTTTTGTTATTTTTATTTTTTTTTAACATCCTTTATTCATATTTTTTCCAACAACAATATAATTTTATAAAAAGGAAAACCTGTCATTGGCTATAGTATCAGTCTCTTATAACTAACATTTTCAATGTGTCGCTGTTGGTTTCTATAAATAAATAAATAAAAAATTTAAACCGGCAGGCAGTGGTGACTGAGTTTGTTGCGGCGCTTCTTCTCAGCACTTGCCAAATGTTTGTCTCGAAGCGCTGGTAGGGCAAAAAAGAATGAGACATGTATAGGCTCCTTAAGAGCATTTTACGATTTGCAAGTACTAATTTAATTAGTCTAAACAAATAAAGATAATTTTGATTTCATTTTGTTTGTTTCATACAGCTCGCGTGGGCCTAATGCATATCGGCGTATTCATCCTTCTTCTCCTATCCGGGGAGCGCAACTTCGGCGTGCGTCTGAACAAGCCCTACGCAGCCGCCGTGCCCATGGACATCCCGGTGTTCACGGGCTCCCACGCGGACTTACTGGTCGTGGTGTTCCACAAGGTGGTCACCACGGGCCACCAGCGCCTGCAGCCGCTGTTCGACTGCCTGCTCACCATCCTGGTCAACGGTCGGTCCAGCTCTTTTATCATATAATAGAGAACTTTCCCTTCTTTTGTGGGTCATAAAGGTAGCAGGAAAGCGCTGGTCGCTGGCCGCTAACAACCGGTCAACATGGAAATCATTGGAGGAGGCCTATGTTCAGAAGTGGACGTCCTATGGCTGAAATGATGATGATGATGATCATATAGTAGTTGTCGTTATTCTATTTTGTACAGTCAAAAGTCAATAGTACATCAGACTATACATTTTTGGTATAAAATAGCACCTATTTAGGCAGGGAAAATATGCATTGATCTGCATGCTTCCTGCGGGGACAGGGTAGGTTGTGTGGTGGGGTTCACCAAATCAGAAGAGCGAGGCATACTCATTAAAACATAACTCTTTCTGGCGCAGTCGGGTAAAAAGAACCCAGTGCTCCGTCACTCACTATAAGTAGGAGGGAACTGGGATCCCGGGCAAAGCCTTCTCTTATGCAAAATTGCACCTATTTTCCTTTTATGCGCTGTTCGCACGTGGTTATTGCGTTGCTTCTCAGCACTGGCCCATTTATTGTGCTGAAGCAGTGGTAGGGTTAATACTGAGCCCCGATTACGGTAATTTTTAACATCTCCAATCCAGACGCGTTTCTGATTCTGCAATACGATTGGTCAAAACAGCTGACGTACGCTGTTGAACGACCAATCGTATCGCAGAATCGAGAAGCGTGTCTGGATTGGAAACGTTAAAAGTTACCGTAATCGGGGCTCTGGGACGTGTAAAAGTGCTTTTGAAAAGCAGTGAGTTTTGAGTGAGATGAGTTTTATATTAATAGTTCACATTCTTCTCATTCCAGTGTCCCCGTACCTCAAGACGCTGTCCATGGTGGCGTCGACCAAACTCCTGCACCTTCTGGAAGCGTTCAGCACGCCGTGGTTCCTGTTCTCGCGGCCGCATCACCACCACTTGGTTTTCTTCCTACTGGAGATGTTCAACAATATGGTGCAGTACCAGTTTGATGGTCAGTTGCTTTTGTTACAACAAGAATAAATGTGTCTATCTTATTTATTTAATGAAGACTAACTTTTGTCGTGAACTCTTTACCAGAGACGTAGGTTCACGTAGTTTTTAGAAACCCTGCCATATTTAAAAGTTCTGATACTGTTAATTCTTAATAGAAAGAGAATCGATTGGTTTGCTATATTTCGGTATAAATTGATCCTTAGGGTTCCCTTATCTTCGTTTTAAGTAAATGCTACTACATTCTTCTTACACATATCACCTAACGCAGACACATATTTTAAAATCATTTCGCTGTTATCGTGCCGTGGCAGAAGTGTGCTTGCTACCGATGTTAGCATTTGTGTGACGTCATTAGTTCCGCAGCAGAGGTGTATTACCAGCGTTATTATTTTACCCATAGGTTATATGTTACCCATGTTATCATTTGTGTGACGGCACAGGCGAAGGTGTGCTGCCGACGCTATCATTTTTGTCACAAATGTTCTGTATAATTTGGAGTTTCGTGATAGTGGTATGTACGCTAACAATGCTTTTATTTGTTTGACGTCACTGGTTCTGAAGCAAAGGTGTGCTACAAGCGTTATCATTTGTCTGTAGGGTTCCCAACCCTCCCGGATTGCCCGGGAGACTCCGGAAATAATGGTTAACCTCCTGAGAGCAATATTTTCTCCGGTATTTCTAAAAATTTAATGCATCCATTGCTGCTCGTACTTGTTTATAAATTTTATCTTTAAAAGAACCAATCACATGGACCAGCATTACTAAACTCCAGGAATTATTAAATATTGATATAGATAGTGACAAATTGTACGATGAGGTTGGACTTTTGCGTGAGGTGCAACCACATCTTATTGAAGAAAATTGACTTCTTTACGAAATCGAAAGACAGAAATCCCTGTCCTGAATTAAAAAAAATGGTCACGTTTGTTCTTTCCATTCCTGTCTCTATTAATGCTTCATTCGAGCGCGTATTCAGCGTGATGGAGCAAGCGTCGTCCCTGACGTTATTTCTGTTTATCGCCAGGTAATTCGAACCTGGTGTACACCATCATCCGCAAGCGCGCGGTGTTCCACAGCCTGGCCAACTTGCCTCAGGAGCACGCCGCCATCGCGCGCTCGCTGGCCGCCGGGAAGGGCCGATCGTTCTCCGCCGCTAAGCCCGAGCTGCCCAGGTAACGAGGAATCGGTCGCGATCAGGGATGTTAAAGATATGAATTTTCGATTATGTATACAGTTACGGATATTTTGGTTTATCCGAAAGTTTCGGATAATTTCGGTTACGGATATTAGGATTTTAAAAATGTAAAATTAAAATGCTACGCGACCCCCATCCACTTTATGTCCTATGACGACACCAATGATAAAGATAAAACAGGCGGGGATATTACATGGTGCCAAAGAATGCCAGACAAGTAACATATATAAAAAATATAAAAATTTAGACTCCGCCTTAAAATATCCGAAACTTTTGAATCGGTTTCGGTTACGGTTACGGATATTTTTTTATTTCGGATATTTATTTATTTTATTTATATTTATTAAAGAAACATACAGCCTAGTTTGACACATGCAGCTTAAAATTAATATCCGATAGTTTCGGTTACGGTTACGGATATCCATAACATCCCTGGTCGCGATACGCGGATGGGTAACTTCAGTCAGTCTGTGACCACGGCCGGTGCAACCGGTCGTAACGTCAGGCAAATACAGTTAATATTTCAATGTTACCTATCCGCGTATCGCGTTAAAACCTGTTTAAATTAATTCAATCCAAATGGTTTTCTATTGAAAAGATTTGAGCCGCTACGTATATTTAAACGACGATAGTCGAACGGTGAAAGTTTCGGACTGATCGATTCGTGAACCCAACTAAAAGCATAATTTTAGCTTATCACGAGTGGTTAACGAGATTATTAGTAATTTGTATTTAAATAAATAAAGTCGTTTATTATTATTCTTAAAAATCTAATTGCTAATATTTAAAAAAAAATGGTCCACATGCTCGAAGCACTTTGGTGCACTGATAACAAAGACTCACAGACAGTCGTCCACTTATAAGGTAGTAGAAAGGCGCTGGATGCAGGTCGCTACAAACTGTGCAATATAGAAATCGTTTGGGGAGGCCTATGTTCCGCAGTGGCCGTCCTATGGCTGAAATGATGATGACAACAAAGTCCATTTTGGGTCATCATCTTACTTTAACAACTAGCAACAAAAATACACCAACTCAGTTTTTTACTATGAACACTCGTTCTATCATCTAATGTTTTGATGACGGTATGCGGGAAAAGAATCTGTAATCGAATTTTTGCCAAAATAAGACAAACCACGCGTTAAAATTATTTCTTTATAATATAACTTTTAAAAAAAAACCGACTTCAAATGCGTGAACATAAATAATACCTATTCAACAAAAAAATAATCGTTCAAATTGGTTCATAATCGGCGGAGATATTGCGTAATAGAAAAGTTCATCTCCAATTTTCCACCTTTGGGGGTGAAATATTTTCTTCAAATTCGCATGAAACCACCCTTTTGATAATACCTATTCAACAAAAAAATAATCATTCAAATTGGTTTATAATCGGCGGAGATATTTTTTTCACCCAATTTTCCACCGTTGGGGTTTTTTTTATTATTAAATTTAAATGGGACCACCCTTGAGGTATTACCTATACGCCGAAAAAAGATTTGTTCAAATCGGTTCATAATTGGCGGAGTTATCGCGTAACAAACATAGAAAAAAAAACATACGGGTCGAATTGAGAACCTCCTCCTTTTTTTGAAGTCGGTTGAAAATGACTGATAGCTGATGTTCGCTTATGTTTGAGCAGGTCGCGCAGCGCGGAGTCGGTGTCGGAGGCGGTGATGGAGGGCTCCCGGCCCGCGCAGCCCGCCGAGCCCGGCACGCTCAACCCCACGCTCGCCGAGACGCCAGGTAACGCTCGCCGAGACGCCAGGTAACGCTCGCCGAGACGCCAGGTAACGCTCGCCGAGACGCCAGGTAACGCTCGCCGAGACGCCAGGTAACGCTCGCCGAGACGCCAGGTAACGCTCGCCGAGACGCCAGGTAACGCTCGCCGAGACGCCAGGTAACGCTCGCCGAGACGGCAGGTAACGCTCGCCGAGACGCCAGGTAACGCTCGCCGAGACGCCAGGTAACGCTCGCCGAGACGCCAGGTAACGCTCGCCGAGACGCCAGGTAACGCTCGCCGAGACGCCAGGTAACGCTCGCCGAGACGCCAGGTAACGCTCGCCGAGACGCCAGGTAACGCTCGCCGAGACGCCAGGTAATCTCACAGGCTGTCCGCGTAAACACCGTGGCGACTTATGTAGGTACTATGGGCTACTGTTCTAGCTACCAATATCCGGTCATGTTGTATTGTTCTATTCCAAAGAATCACCATTTATTTTATTTTTTTANGTTTGAAGTAAAAACTGTTTTTTACTAAGTACCTGCTTAAATTTACAATTCTTTCAATATAAGGTTTATAGCCTTTCTAAATTGAGGCAGTGACATATTGAATAAATCTACATCAGAGAAGCTGTTGTCGTATAGTTCCATTATGCGACGCAAAGGTGCACGTTTACCTGCATTTGTTTTGCACATAATATTATGAAAAAACAAACGATGGACGTATGTGTTTCGTATTCTTAGTGACCGACTTGGTAGGCGAAAGCGTATACAATTAACAAATTGAGAACAGTCAAAGAAGTTATGACAAATGGCAATGCTAGATTTTGTATGGAAGGTGGCGTCTTTTTTTTTTCGCGAAAAAAAAAAGACGCCAATTTCCGGCATTGTCTTTTTGTATAGAAAAATACAATCAAGTACTGATCGCCTTTTGCTTAGTGTAGTTAAAGAATATTTATGCAAGAGGTTATCATAAGAGGACCTAGAATGGTGACATCTGTAGTTTACAGAGCGTAGATATTTACTTTGAATCGATTCTAGCAAATCACGGTACTTTTGATAAAAAGGATCCCACCAAAANAGACTGAATCATGACATGAACTTGAGTTGGTGTCTACTAATAGGCAATAATGAGTGATTTCATATCATCATCCGTATGTTATATCCTGATTGAAAATAAAATAAATCGCACAATACAAATTTAATGTAATATCAATCAAATTGCATTAAACGCAAATAATCGAATCAGAAGTATCCATCTAAAGACTGACGATTTTCTTAATCAAAAAGTTAAAACGGTCCAATAAAATAATAAACACACAGTCCTTATTCATTGCTATTTTATTTTCTTCAAACTTTTAATAAGTAAGATTCCAAGACTCGAGTGTCGTATCGTACAACACTAGCCGGCGCAGCAAACGAACTTGTCGCCGCCATTAGACACGTGCCGCCGGCCGCCGGCTAGCGCAATGTACAGTCACCAAAATAAAATTAAGAAATGCAACAAACTTTTTTTTCATCATCATCATCATCATCATGTCAGCCATAGGACGTCCACTGCTGAACATAGGCCTCCCCTAATGCTTTCCACATTGATCGATTGGTAGCGGCCTGCATCCAGCGCCTCCCTGCCACCTTTACGATGTCGTCGGTCCACCTTGTAGGTGGACGTCCCACGCTGCGCCTTCCGGTACGCGGCCTCCATTCCAGAACCTTGCTGCCCCATCGGCCGTCAGTTCTGCGCACTATGTGCCCTGCCCATTGCCACTTTTTTTTTACTATTCAAATTAAAATTGTGTTTATTGTTAAATCATAGGTACATAAGATAGGTCATAAATAAATACCAAGTTGGAAAATGATTCGGAAATTTTATTTAACTAAGTAGATGAGGTAGGTACCTACCTACCTCATCTACTTTTCTATTGTAATAGAAATGATGACATTAACGATTAATTTAAGAATGGACTTTGATTTAGGATAGTTGGAATATCAATACAAACAAATTGAAGAGTTTTATTTGCTTCAATAGTCTAATTTAATGTTTCTACATAAATTGACTAGGCCATTGAATTACATTCACAAAACAATAAGTTTGATTAATTTTTAATTATTATCTGTTATAGGATATTTTACCATGAAATACTCAAACCACAATTTAGATTAGAATCAATTGAAATCGAAAGCAAGCAGATAAAATAATAAATAAATACGTTTATTTTTTGTCGACTGTACGCCTATGCCAACTTTTCGGCTCTTGCTTTGGCGGCGTCGGCGTCTTTGTGTCAACAAAGGACGTGCGGCTTGTCGGCATTTGTCGGCGCGTGCGCTTTGATCAGTGTTGCCAGAAGGTTACTTTTGTAACCTTTTAGGTTACTTTTGAACTGCGTTGGTTACTTTTAGGTTATACTAATGAAAAGGTTACTTTTAGGTGATTTTTCAGAAATTGTAGAATTGACTTTTACAGGTTATTCAGTAAAAAATATTAATAGTGACAATTTAAAAATTATGTCATAAACTGCATTTAAACATGAATTTGATTTATTATTTGTTAAAGAAAATGAGTTCTAGCGAATGTTATTCGATAATAAAACGCAAATCCATGAAACGGTTTTATACGACCGGTCACTTTTCGGTCTTCATGGAATGGTCAAAATTTCGAATTTAGGTAAACGATCGATGATCAATTGTATTCATTTTCCATTCACACAACAACCACCTTACACAATCGCTCGCTTTTTGCCAGAAAATGTAACTTTGTAAAATCATTATAAAACACATACCTACTGAAAATTTGATGAACTTGTTCAGTGTACCGTATAGATGCCCCCATTAAATGGAATGTAGCTAGTTTAGAAGGACCCTGTATAGCCTACATTCAGGCACCATCAGTTACATATTCATACAAATGAAAGGCAAATCTAAGAAGATAGTACCTAAATTAGTTTCATAAGTAGCCATTTTAATTAATAATATGTANTGACATCTGTAGTTTACAGAGCGTAGATATTTACTTTGAATCGATTCTAGCAAATCACGGTACTTTTGATAAAAAGGATTCCAAACCTGTGTGGCATATTCGACTTGAGGTCTAATAAGTGATTTATAAAGCAGTAGATAGGTGCCAGATTTTTTGAATGGCCTACAAGTTCTCATGACAAAACCATAAAGTTGAAAGGCCTTGTTTATAATATGGTCAATGTGGATGTCAAAATGAAGCTTAGAGTCAAAAAACACGCCAAGGTCTTTAATAAGTGAAACGTTTTCAAGAGGGGTATTACAAAGAGAATATGTGAATCTAATTATATTACTTTTTTTAGTGAAGGTGATGAATTTACATTTAGGCAGGCTAAGAATTAGTTTATTTTCTTGACAATAGGAAGTTAAACGATCCAAATCATCTTGAAGTAGAACACAGTCATTAAATGTTTTTATACTACGGAAAATTTTAAGGTCATCAGCATAGAGCAAGAAATGTGAATTTTTAAAACATGTCGTTATGTCATTAATAAAGATTAAAAACAGAAGAGGACCCATAATTGAGCCTTGCGGCACACCGGATGACACATTTATTTCATCGGATGAGAATCCATTAATGACCACCCTTTGTGTCCTGTTTGTGACGTAGGATGAAAACCATCGCAATAAGTTTCCGCGTATACCGTTGTAAGCGATTTTTCGAAGGAGAATTACGTGATCCACCTTATCGAAGGCCTTGCAAAAATCTGTATAGATTGAGTCAATTTGAGTGCGCCTGTCCATATTTTCAAATAAAAAGTTAGCATATAACACAAGATTACTTACAGTCGAGCGGTTTTTGACAAATCCATGTTGTTCAGGGATAATGGAGTTATGTAAGCTTGGATAGACACAGTTATGGACTAACCTTTCCAATACCTGCGATAAGGTGGACAGAAGCGAGATCGGGCGGTAGTTAGAAATAACATTTTTTGATCCTCCCTTGAAGACAGGGGTAATATTTGCTGCCTTCCACACCAGTGGTACGTGTCCTTCGCGTAAACTACGGTTGAAAATATGAAAGACAGGAATGCTAATGGAGTCTGCAGTATGCTTAAAAAAGAACGGCGGAAGACCATCAGGTCCTGAACCCTTAGCTACGTCCAATGATTTAAGTGTTCTAATTATCGTGTCTAATGAAAAGGAAATATCACTTAGAATGACGTCATTAGTAGTAGTACATGGCAAGGAATCCAGGTCCACCGATGCTGCATCACTGTCCACATACACGGATCCAAAATATTTTGAGAACATGTTGCATATATCCTGCGGGTTGTTGGACTGCCAATCATTACATGTCATATTATCAGGAATGCCATTCTTATCCTTACGTGTTTTCACAAATGACCAAAAGAACCTCAAATCCCTATGCATACCAGTTTCGATTGAACTAATATAAGTATTATAACAGTTTTTGCATAGTGATTTAAATCTCCTACGATAAACTGCAAAAGTCTCATAATCCGACTTGTTACCGTACTTTTTCCATCTGATCCACGCTTTTTCTTTGTTTTTAAAAACATGGATAAGAGGGCGTGAAAACCAAATTGGAAATTCTTTTGATTTAGTAGGTCGTAATGGCACATGTTTTCGAATAATTTTATTTATCTCTTCGTAAAATAGGTATACGTCAGATTCCAATGAAAGCCCGTGCAGTATGTTTTCCCAATCAATAGAATTTATTTCATTATTAACATCCTCATAATTAGCCTCAATAAATTTATACTTAGGTTCTGCACAGCGAATCATTGGTTTTTGTGGAAAGTCTAAAAATATGTGTGCTATAAAGGGTGGGTGGTAATTATCTATTTGAACCAGGGGAGACAGTGGCAGCTCACAGGTACAAGTATCAGTGTTACTTATAAAAAGGTCAAGAATACGATCTACGCTATTCTTATATATATTATATTGTTTGGCATTCAATAATGATAAGAAATTAGAAAGTAGACGGTAGGTAGGTGCAAGAGATTGAATATCTCGCATAATAGCATACTTATCATTAAAAACCC